GAACTTGACATAGGACATCTTCCTTGTGCTACAGGATGTAACCTCTACTCCCTCTTGTGACAGTGCAGGAGGAAGCCTGCTCTGCAGCCCTAACCAAGGGAGAATTTTTCCTTGCCAGTGAATTGAGCAAATAAGATGGGAAATTGCTCCCGGGTCTTATCTGCATGTTTGATTCTAGGCTGCAGCCAGAGCTGATAGAGGTCTTTTTTCCCCAAGGAATTAGGGACTTTTGTTGTCTGTGCTGATGTTTTTTCAAGTTTCTCCATGAGAAACCCATAGTTTACAAAATAAAAACATCTGGGAATTTCTTGGCAATGAAAACTTTTCAGATCATGGAAAATCATTGAAACAATCATGTTCTTGATAATGTTTATTGAGTGGAAAAGCTGTTTTTCACTTGTAAACATCAGGGCAACTTTCTTCTTGGTCTAGCAGATCTAGTCACACCTGAGCCTTACCTCCTTTCTTACACTGTTTTGTTTCTGTTTATTTTGCTTCCTTTTTCTCAACTGTGCCTCTCCCTCTTCCATCTACAGAGATGGTGCTGTGGTTGAAGGGTCAGCACATGGTTAAAGGTGAGTGTGTGGTCAAAGGGTCAGCGTTACCTGGCTCAGCTCCTGCAGAAGGCTCACAGCATTGTTTAAATATCCTGGTAACCAGTGGGATTTTATGGTGCTCTGGTGTCAGGGGGAAACCAACTAATGGATTTCCCATTTACTTTTGACTCTAGGAAGTAGAAGGCTGGAGCTGGAAAGGGGAGTAGTGCACTGAAGTCTGGGAAACTTCCAGGCACTGCTCAAACTTCTTCTGCAGGCAGTGATGGGTCACTCTGCTCCCGTGTCCATCTGCAGAGGGACACTCATACTCACTGCTGATCCACCCCACTGCCCTGTCCCCTGTACTGTCACATAAAGATCCCAGGGATTCTCAGTTGAAATATCATAGTTCAATGGCAGTATTCCTAGGATATGTGTTTTTCATATTTATTCATATCTTCTTAGTTAGAAGGCACTAGCTAAAGAAATTGCTATTTGCCCCAGTCAGCCACTGAATGTAGTTTATTTAACTTACAAAATGCAAATATCCTGGTGGTCAGAGGGTTAAGAGGAAGCATCGACTAAGTACTTGTAAATTGATGTAGTGCCCTGAGGGTACCTCTGCTGGTAATAAAGTGCATCTCATGAACAGATCTGACTCTGTGCTACAGCCCAGCAAAGCTAAGTGGAGTGGATCTGTCCCAGATTAACTGTAAATGAGACTGACACTCTCAACACAAATCGACGTCCATCAGGACTATGATCACATTAATTACAAGGCCTTGGAAAACGATCAAGGAGGGCTTACTCTTCTCCAGGGGAAATTAGTTGAAGGGATCTGCCAACAGTGGAAAAATCATATGTACAAGAAGAAAAAGCCATTTAAATTCTTTTATTTGCTCACCTTGCTCATGAGGGAAACCAGTAATATTAGCAATAGCTGCTAAGTGTAAATTAATCTGGGTTCTGTGTTCTTCCTCTGCCACTCTCCTTGCCCTGGCCTTTGAGGTGGAGAAGTCCATCTCATCCATGGATGTATCCACATCCAGACAAGCCACAGGTACCAAGGAATCACCACTCTAAGACTGGCAGTGGGAGATAAATGGGGCTGTGAGAATGAAAAGTGCATGTACTGGGAAAGGCTGGGCTTCCCAGGGAGCTTGAGGACACCCACGTGTGGTGTGAGCATCCTTACAGCTGAGATTAGGGTGCCATGAGTGCTTCCCACCCCTACCTCGCCCTAGAGCACACAGACACCCTCTGTGCCCAATCTTGCTGTAGGAACATGCCTGTGCTGTCCCCAAACTGACACTTCTGCTCTCTTGCCAAATGGCTCCAGCTCCATACAGGCTCAGCCAGGGACCAAAGGGCCAAGAGACACAGAGTGGCCAAGCCTCCTTCACTGATGTTTCGGAGGAACCAAAACATGCTTATTTTCTTTGCTAGAGGGAAATGGATTTAGCACCCAAGATGTCAGGTCCTCCTTTATTGCTTTGTACCATTTGTGCTTGTGCATTGGAGCATCTCACCCTCAGCAGGCACAGCAGAAATGCAGATGAGGTGGCGATGCCTGGGCAGCACACTGGATCAGGGGCTGAATGAAATTGGGATTAAAAAAAAAAAAAAAAGAAAAAAATCCTGATCTGAACTTTGTGACTGCAATCTGTCACAGCTCCTCCTTTCTTTTGATGGGCCATGGGCCAGGGTGGGTGGTAGGTGTTCTCCGAGGCAGGATGACTTCTCTTGAGCTTTAAAACAAAGCCACCATGCCAACAGGCAGAGGGGTGAAGGTGCTGCTTCATGCTTTATCCTCTAGCTCTGCTACTTTGCATTGCAGATGTAGGGGCATGGTTTATAATCTAATTCAGAAAAACAAAAGCTTGGCATCTATTTTTTATGCTCTTTAAGCAACTGTTTGGATTTTTATGATTCAACTAGTATTTGTGGGGTTTTTTTTGTTGTGCACAAACATCCAATAGTAACATTAAATAAAAAGTGGAGTCTCTTTATTGATTTGCTTTTAGTTAAAAACAAACATGTCATATATAATTGAGATGTACACTGCTTGTAGATAGTAGAGAGCACATTTATAAAGCTATCGAAAGAAATAACGAAAGTGAAAAATATATCACAGCCACCTTTCCAAATCATTCAAATAGGGTTGTTTACACCCATAAAAGGTTGATAGTCCTTCTGGCAAACTTAATACAATCATTTGCTTTGTACTTTAAATGCCTGGAATATTTTAACCCTGGAGAAAAATGAATCTCAGTGGGATTGCTGAGAAATTAAGAAAAGTGTGTCCGATGAGCTTGCTTCATACAGAGAGGTGAAATAACACCAGGAGATTCAGCTGATCATTTGATATCTTTACATTAAAAAAACACAAGGCAAACCCTGAGGCATGCCATTGTTATGCTGTGTGACAGGGATTGCTTTCAAACAAGTCGTGTTTTCGACATTAGCTGCATCATGGTTTTATAAATTGCCATTTAAAATGTAAAGCAATGTGCATTCGGGAAGGAAGCCTCCTGAGACCCCCTGAGCCGGAGTGCGGTGGCCTCAAGACCACGGGTCAGGGCTCATCTGCTCAGTGGGGCTTTCCTTGATTGAGGGCGACAGCTGGGTGGGTAGGAGGCAGTGGTGGAAGGGCTTGGGGAGGAGTGGGTTGCTATCCACTCGCTAATTGCTGGCAAGAGTTATGCAGGAGTTGTTTGTTTTCTGATAATAGGTCAAGACATAGTCATAATGGTCTTGATAGCTTGCTTTTGGGTTTCATGATGAGCTATCTGGATGCTCAGTTTTATTGAAGGCTCAGATATTTGGTAAAAAATGTCAAAAAACAATTGAAACACTGAGCCCCCAAAGAAAGGAAATAAGGCTTTGAATTACTGCCTGACTCTGATGTGCCATGATGAGCAATGCATGCAGTTATAGTCCCAGTGCTATTACTCACAAATCACACTGGGAATGCTCCCTCAGCTATTATTGCCAGCAGAGGGATGTTTTCACATCAAGATGTTTAACTCAAAGCATTCGCTTTGTTGGAAAAATCTTGGAGGCCAGGCTTTGGGAGTTTTCCCTTCAGCGTAAAGCAGCAGAGCTATATCCCAGGCTGGAAGCTTTCAGCTTTGGTCTTTGCTGGCTGCGCCAAGGTCAGGCTCTGCTCGCCTCTCAGGAGCTGGCTGTATCACAGCCAGAAATGCATGGTGTCAGCTGGGATTTGCACTGACAATATCGCTCTCGGTTTCAATGTGCATCCTCCGGCATGAAAAGCATTCCAGGAAGGAGGTGGCTGTATCCCCAGAGATGATAACCGATCTCATTTGAAAAACATTGGTTATTCTCTGGAAAACAGAGCCAAAATTAAGACATCATGCAATTAGGACTGTTGTCCCTTCAAATGATTATTTTTCACTAAAAGGTGTTGTTATTATTGGTGGAGAGGTGGCTGCAGGAGCAGTCTATTTGACAATTGTGTGTGACACCAGGAGAAAGAATCACCCGTTTATTTGCTATATAAATCAAATTAATTTAGTTAAATTTACAAACACAGGAAGAAAAGCAATAAAGTCTGTCCTGTGGCTGTGCCCCAAAACAGGCAACACTCAGTATTGAAACTGCTCTCCTCAGGGGAACCAAGAATGTGATGTGGCCGCAAATATTCATTTGGTTGTTGTCATTTCCACTGCTATGTATTTTAAATTTACTTCAAGCACTGTAGAAAACCTATACTGGTGAGAAACCTCCTGCCCAGAGGGACTTGGTGGGGTGACATGCCCACCAGTATGAAGGGAAGTTTTGCTGTCTTGCTCCAAGAAGAGTGAATTGAAGGTTTATAACTCTAGACATACTCCTTCTACCACACAAGGCAGGTCAATATTTATAGGAACATCTTCTGACTCCCTAAATCTCGCCTTCTGCCCCCCTCTGCTGCTCTACCAGCATCCTCTGCCCTGTCCATGCTTCCAGCTGAAGCACTGCACAGCATTACTCTTCCACCTGTGATGCAAAGAGAAGGTAAAAAGAGGTCATACTTGGACAACACTCCCCAGTATTTCTTGCCTTGGTATTTGCTGTGGTAGCCAAGGCAAGATGGGCTGTGATGTGGATTCAGGACACCACAGCCTGTCTCTCTGGCTCACAAGACACTAGTCCAGATGCAAAGAAACTGCAGAATGTAGCCGAGAGGGAGCTGGGTGGCTTTCACCATGCTGGACAGATGGCAATGGCAGGCATTGGTGTGCTTGGTCTCTGCTGACATCAGCATAATTACAAGAGCATATTGAGCTGAAGGACAGCCCAAAAATTCATTTCAGGGAGGACTGAAACAGACGAGAGCCACCTCTGTTTTTTCTTCCTGAGATTATCTTTCATGGTAAAATAAATAGTCTAAGTAAAATTCTGCCATCAGATACCTGTCTATAAATGCCACTGATGTCACAGGAGCATGTTCCATGGGGGAACATGGGAAGAGGATCTGGTCCTCCAGGTGAGGCCCTTCTTGCTGAGCAACCTTTTTTGTGTGCACTTTCTGGGCAGATGGGTCCCTGCACCATTGCTGACCAAGGTGGGCTCAACCTTAGCTATCTGTGGGCTGAAAAAATGCTGCCGGCTTCCAGGATGTCTTTGATACATGTGCAGATGGGAAAGGACGCATTCCAAGCTGTTACTGGGTGCAGTTCATGTGGGATGGGTGCCAGTGGTGATACACTGGGACACAGTAATCTTCTTAACAGCACTTGGCACTGAATGCTGCCTCTCATTCCACATCAATCTGAATCTCTGTGCCATTAGCTAATTGAACTTTGAAGAAATGCCTCAGAAACACTGGCATTGGCAGGCACATTTTTCAAATTATTAAATACAGATTTGGAAAGACTACATGTCCCACTTGGCCTCTGGTCATCAGTGGGATCTGCAAGCCTTTAGATGGCAGGAGCTTGTGAGACCTTCAGATAGTGATGGTGGACCCCGGTTTCACCAGGGATCAGGACTGCACAGAAAAATATTGCTGTAATCTGTCCCAAGGACTCTCATGAAAAGGGATTGGAAATTTAGAAAAGGGGTCTGAAATAAAAACACTTGTTCAACCATTCCCAGCCTGAATAATCGTTCTTGTGACCCAGAAAAGGAGAGACTTCGTTCTGTCTTGCTGGGTCATTTGGATACAGCCCTCCACCTCTGCTTTGTCCAGGCCCTTCTCCTTGGTGGGGAAGTGAGGAACAGCAGTACCTGGTTCATCAGGGCTCCTTTGCACTCCCAAAAGTTTCTCACCCTTTGACGTGAGCACAGCAAGTCTGTCTCATTCCTGCTACCTGTCTGTCCTTCGCACATCCCCTTGTGTGTGTCTCTGTGTTTATTTCAAAGCAGTTGGATTGAAAAAAAAGCCCACTGGGACTGTGGCAGCTCCTAGGGAGGCCCCCAGCCTCCTGATTATAAACCAGCGTGTGTAATTTAGAGCACACTAAGGAGATAAAAGGGCGTCAACTGCACTACCACTTCCCTTGGCTGAGCATTCCCTCTGGGAGCAAAGAGAGGGGCCAGAGACAGCCTCTCAGGCAGGCTTCCCAGCAAATGAAAAGCTCCCCATCCCTTAAAACCTACTCAGAATTAGACGCTGCCTCTGAATAAGCCACTGCCTGTGCTTTCAGCAGGAAAAGGAGCCTCCTCCATCCATTTCTTCTGGCTGCTGGTGGTTTTTCTCTCCAACACAAGGCAACTGAGGCAGATACAGTCCATCTACCCAGGTGATACGGCCTGAGGAATCAGGAATCTCTGGTCGACACTGTTAGGCTGGCAATTGAAAGCAATAGGTCCTTATGGTAATTTAGGCACCAGACAACCACTATGAATAGGAAATGATGGCAGTTATTTTATCTAGTAACAGCATGAAAATGTAAAGTGTCTTTATTGAGCTGCTGGCTTGCTAGTGAGAGCTAAAGGAGATGCTCTCTCGGGTATAACATTTGCAGAGAAGTGGCATGAGATATTGCCATAAACTCTCCCGTTAATAAGCGAGCAGAGGAAGACAGCGCATACCTAATGCAGCCGTGTGAAGGGACAAAATTAAGAAGGTGGAGGCAGAAACCTTTCTCTCTTGGCAGCAGAGGTACCCCAAGGAGAAACGAAGAATTCCCCTCCTGACCCAGCAACTTGAAAACTCATGTACTGCTAATATCAATGTAGGAAGGACGGTTTTGAAAGGAATAAAAGAAAAACACTTCTTACCACATTAGTGTCCTTCAATACCAGAGGGAAATGTAAGTTTCTGCCAAAGGGAGATTAACAGGAAAGCCCAGCTCAGCAGCTGTGCAGTGATGATGCTTTGCAGGTGGCCAGAGGGTGTAGAAATGACTTTTGCTCTGTGACAGATGGGGGAGACATGGCCCAAGCATGTGAACAGCAGCAGCATGTATCCCCAGTTATACCAGTCACGGTGCTGGATGTGCAGTGTTGCAAAGTAGCTCTGGGGGCGATGACCACACACGGTTGAAAGCGAGCTGTCCAGAGGGAGGAGGAAGGCAGCACTCAGGAAACGCTGGGAAGAACCTCTGAATTGCAAAATTGGTTCGAGTTCAGCAAATTCTATTTTCTCTGTAGTTTCATAAGACTGTCTGTGGCATTTGTCACTGATATCTTAATTGGCATGTTATTTAACTGCTTCATAGATTGCTTTTGATAGTTCTTGTCCAATGAAAGCTGTCCTTTGGAGAAAACAAAAACTGTTGAGACATTTAAGATCAGTTTCTGCTGATGTGTACAATTCCAGTGCATGTGTACAGTTCCAGAACAGCTATGGCTTATATTGCTGCATGCAGTCAGAATAGATTTCTGAAAACCTACGTGGCAAAATAATTCACCACAGATAAAGTATTTTGGTAAAGCCAACAACTTTTGGCAGTACTTTGCTTTTGAAAAAACAGCTGATTTTTAAAAAACAGGAAAAAAGATCTGCTGATGTTCTCACCTCTCATCATCGTAGACACTAAAAAAGATGAGAAAAGGGAGTACCTCCGTGCATTTCCCAGGGAGATCTGTAGTTCTCCTCCCTGTCCACAGGCAGCTCTGTCTCCCTTGTGGCTGCACTGAGTGGTGTCAGATCTGCCCTGCAAGTGAAGTGGAAGCGTGGGAATGGAGAACCAAAGGAGCAGACAAGTCACACCTGTAACCAGAGCCCCATGACACTGTGAGCCAAATGGGTCTTTTTGCTTCTGTACTCATTGGAGGTGAGAAGCGGACAAGGCTTGACAAGAGCGGAGGAGGAGGTAGAGAAAATGCATGGAGAAGCTGCAAGAGTGACCTGATCTTGGGCAAGAAAGGTGCTTTGCAAAGGAGACCCTATCTGTCTATTGGGTTTGCTGATGGAGGTTTTAGGCAAAACTATGTCTTCACATGGAGAAAGTCTGTGACGACAGAGGCTGCCCCAGTTCACAGTGAGGGAAAGCACAATGACTTTATGAAGGCAGAAGCTCATGCAGGAAAATAATTCAGACTGGAAAAAAAGATAAAAAAATGCTACTGGTGAAGATAAATAATCTTTGGAAGAACTTAGAACTTAGCAGGAGGTACCACTGGTCTCCTTCAAAGGAATCTTCAAAGCCAGGCTTTTTGGAAAGGATGGGCTCCAGTCAAAGCACAAAGCAGTCAGTATGAAGTTACATGTACTTTACAGGGGGCAGCCTGGAGGGCTGCAACTCTTCTGCCAGTTTTAAAAGTCGCTTCTTCTTCCAAAAGGTTCTGCTTCTCTAGAGATGTGCCCTGTAATGTCGCAAGATGACAGTTTTAAGTGCTTAGGGAATACCAGCAGAATGGACAGCAGATGGTGGTCCCTGCCCATGAACCAGTTCAAAATGGCATCTCCTGTAATCACTGCTGGGGACAGGGGGCTGGGCTGGAGGGATCATTGCGCTGAACTAGTGAGACTTTTCTTATGTTCCTGCTTAAAAGACAACAGAGGAAAATGATAACTAACAGTGCAAACATCTCTCCTCAAAACCTGCTGTGAGACCTGGGAGAACACAGGAAGCTTTGTACATTGTTTGCATTCAAAGGATGCAGAAAACTGCCTGATGCCCCAGTCAGGTCAAAGGAAACGCACCCTTAGTGTGCCCTATTGCCCCCACTATAAAGGACTATAAAAAGAGCTGGGCTGATGCACTCAGATGTAGACACACAAGGGAGCAGTGCCTAATTGGCATGGATCCTGCTCCTCCAGCCCCTGGCCAGACAGAAAACGAACCTTAGCTAGATGGAGGCAGTGACACATTTAAACACCCAGTTAACATCCCTAGAAGGCAAGGATGAAAATGTAAGAGGGATCCTTCCCTGCACCAAGGCGCCCATGCAGGCTGTCCCTGCTAGAGGGCAGCGACCGGTTAGATTGGTCTGGCTCCTTTCCCAAGGAAATATAAAAAGTGGAGCCAGAGTACATCCCACACCAGCCAGCCTTGCCAGAAGTCCTACCAGCAGTCAGAAACGTGGACACACAAGCAGGCTGGTTAGCTGCCCGAATGGACACTTGTGATACCCTGAGCAGCATCTGCCTCTCCTGTTCTTGGGATAATGACTAGTGCTGATGTTGTCCAAGTCAGGTTACATTTCTCCTATGGCTGTTGGTAATGGAGAGCACCCTAGTATCAGCTGCATGGGAATCATCCCAGGGGTGTCAGCAAAATATACAGATAGGATGAAAAGGAGCTTGGGTTTGCTATGTCTGCAATGTCTTGCAGAGCAGGAAGGGAGAGAGAGCATCATGTAGGATGGTCACCCCTACAAGTGCCCAGTCAGAAAGATTAAAAAAACTGATTGAAACTCAAAATCTCATACTGGATTTGGACCGAGCAATGCATCTTTCAGGCTATCATCCTGCCAAGTCATGCAGTGCTTAGATACTTGAGGGTTTCCACAAGCATTTTCCTTTCACCTGAAAAACCGGAAAACAGAAAAACTGGAAAGCTATTGCTGCTGCAGTCAGTTTTTATGTCTAGCTGATCCTATTACCATGCAAACCTGATGCAGTCGCAGCAGCAGCTGAGCTGTTAGAGCACTGTAATCCCATGTGTATTATGGTGATGCCACTTGAGCTGCTAATTTGGCAAAATCTGGATCCTAATGGAGATTCAGCCTATGGACTTCTGCCACTTCACACTTGTCTGTTACAGAATAAACCATCTTGGAAATAATGGCTGCAGTCACCGGAAATTTGTAACCAGCAATTTAATGGGATTCACCACGTGCCCCTTGCACATGAACTTATTCCTCGTCTCTCTGGCTGCCCCCATACAGCTCAATAATGCCATCAAGGACACGCTCCAAGGTTTGAGGCCAGGTAGGGTAGCAGACCTTGCATTCCCAAGCCTGGATGAGACCACCATGTACTCCAGTTAATGGGGTTATGCTGGTCAAGAGCCTCTGTTTGCAAAAGGAGAAGAAAGAACTGGATCCATACATGCATGCGAGACCACACTGCTGAGCTTTTGTTTGCAAGTGAAGCTGTGTGCACAGCCAGCTGCTGTGGCTCAGTGGGTGTTGGGTCCCTTGTCAAGCAGGTGCTAAATCCTATGTTGAAATGCCTTACCTGTTGTAAGCAGGTGCGGTGTGTAGGACTCTGGACAAAATACGGGCAGTAAAACAATTCCAAAAAGTGCTCCCATGAACGTGAACTCATGTGCTGAACAGGAGTTACCTTCAGATGTACTGAACACCCATTTTCATCCTTTTTCACAAATATTGGTGTCGGAGAGTTGTTCCTTGGAAGGTCACATATAGCAAGCGAGATGGGCACAGATGTATACAGGGATTTGGGCATTGCAAAGGTCCCTCACCATCCCTGAAGGTAGTCTTTGCTTTGAACAACAACAACCCTTTTTGTATACTAGCCCAGAGGCATGGATGTATATTTAGATTGAAGATGCTCCTATGCACCTGTGGGATCAGGGACACCTCTCCTCCCAACCCCCAGAAAGTAGCTGGGTCTCAAGGGGGCTGGACTGTGGAACTGCCAGAGCCATGAGACTATCTGGACAGCAGGGATAAGGGGTTCAATCTCTGTTCCCCATGGATATGGGGGTGCCCCCCAAGTCTAGTCATTCAGTTGAGTCAATCAGTCAAACAGAATTAATCTCCAGGAATTCAGGTGGCAATAACCAGAGTAAATAGAGAGGATGTTTTGCTCATTTAAGGCAGAATACTTGCACTGGTAACTTGCAGACTGAAATTTCCTAGTATAAAGTATTTGTGCAGCTACCAACTACAAATCAGGAAGAAACAAATAATAAATAGCTGGATGCTCACAGTTACTTTGGGAATGGAAAAAAAAATACATTTAAGCAAATCAATTCACTCACTTGTCCTCAAGTCTGCCTGAAAATATTCTCAAAGTGTCACTCAGCACTGCAATAATTATCTCCAGTTCTCATTTACAACCAAATGTTAAGAACTGAGAGATACATACTCCTTCCATCCTTAATGTTTTTTGGGGGGCTTGTGTAATCAACTGTTCCAGCATTCACATTTTTCACTTATTTATCTACTCAGACCTCCCTTTTTTTTTTTTTTTTTTTTTGATGCACAGGTTCTCTGCAGTCTGGCAGAACCAGAATTGCAGTATTGATTTAGGAAGAGGCAGTTGTGACAATACAGTCCCAGGCTAATTCTTGCGCTTTACAGGGGCTGCTCTGTCCTCAGCAGCAGTGTCACCCCCAGCATGGGGCTCACATTTAAAAAGAAAAAAAAAAAAATTAAAGAAAAGCTACTTTTCTCTGTTCTGATTTGAAGGGAAAAAGGATTACCAAGGCTAAATAAGCCATCTGAGTACTTAGCTAGCAAGCCTAAATAGCACCCTGATAGGAAGTTCTGGCAGAGAGCTAATTAAATTAACTCTCTTTGATTTATTAACAAGCAGAGCAACATATCACACAGGATTGTCCCATGAAATGAATGTGCTTTCTGATTCCCTCAGCTGCAGTCACCTCCTGGAAAACCCAGTTACAGGGACTCAAGTTTAATGAGACTCAATGGCTCGAGAGGGATCCCTGCCCACCAACAGAGATACGCACTGGTAATAATATGTAAAAGCATGTTTATTTTTGTTACACTTCCCTAATTCCTTTTTAATATCTAGGACTATCTAATGGCTAATTTGTAATTTCCTGCTCACCGATATGCAGATGAATGACAAGCAAAAGCCTTCTGCATGTTTAATTATTCTGTTGATTTAGAAGTCACTTTTCCCTCAGTGCAAGTTTCTCTCTGTGTGCTCTCATGCATCACGTATTTCATTATTTTTAGAAGCATGCTCTGTGCCTTTTTATGCTCTCATAGTTCCAGCATCCAGTAATTACCATGTTTTGTGTCCAACAGACCTGATCAGACCTGATTTACGCCAGCAAGTGTAAATCAGGAAAACATCACTGACTCTAAATGTAGTTATTCCAAGTTGCACCAGAGCAGAGATGTGACCTCTCCTATTTTTAGTGATGGGGGAAATGTTATTTGTGTGCTGAGACCCTTGTGAAGTAGCAGAATATAAAATTTAGAAAACTTCAGAGTGGTGAAAATCCAAATTGAAGCCTGTGAATGCACAGACGCGAATCTATTTATGTAGCAAGCTCTACTTCTGCTTAACCGCTGCAAGGAACTGTGACTCTCTTTGCATATTTGATTTCTCTCCCTCAGTAAAACATAGTCAGCTTAACCTATTTTTGCTACTTTCTAACAGTTTCACTGGTGGGGTTCTTCCTTATGCCTTACATGTAGCTTTGGTATCCAACTGCTCCTTTGTTAAATTAAGGCAATTAATAAATGGAGATGTTAAGCAATCAATTTTGCCTGCATATCTCCACAGCCTTACGTATGACTGGCTGTAATCACAAGATAAATGCAATGTGCTGATGTATGGTAATGTTCAATAATACATTCTCCGCCAGGCTCAATTCATCAGGGAGTTTCTGGAGGGGAGGCATTTGTTATTGGCTGTCTCCGGACCTCAAGGATAACATTTCTGTCCTTTCCATTGGCCGCCCCGCTGCTGCAAACCTCTTCCCGTCTTATTTTGATGATGAATATGAAGGCATGCTAAGCTGTGCTGGAGAGTAGCTCTCTCCAACTGCACTCCCTCCCCGGGCTCAAGGACTCAGGGGCTCCCTGACTGTTTCCCCTGCCCACTGCCAGCAGCAGCAGCAGCAGCAGCAACGCCAAAAGTTGTGATGCTTTTCTTCACCCAGTGCTTTGGGGCTGTGTTAGATCTTATTCACCTGCGGTTTCAGCACTACAAGGCAAAGAGGGTTTTCTCAGCTGCCGGGCAACTTGTCTGCGTCGTCAACCCAACACATAGCCTCAAGGTGAGTTAAAAATATATTTTTTCTTCTAACATCTCCTTGTTTTCCCCACCACCAGCACCCGTGTTTCTCCATAGGGAATGAAATTATGCTCTGGCAGCAAGAGGAGAGTGTTGTTAACACATTGCAGCCCTGGCAGAGAGGATGTTTGCATTGTCTGAATGCATGATTCCCTTTGGAGCAAAGGAGAAGCAACCCACTGCTCTGAGTGATTGTGGGAAGTCGCTGCTCCCTCTCCCCAAAGTTTTCTCATCCCTTTCACCCACATAATGAGCAGGCATGTTGCAAGCATGTAGTAAAAAATTATTGGAAGAGTTACTTGGATTAATTAACATCCCTTTTTTGGTGAAAGGATGCTGGGTGGTCTCTCAGGATGGCACCTAAGCACAGAGGGATGCTACCAGGCAGTGGGGAAAAGGAAGAGGGGAGGTGGCAGCAGAGGCATTTTCACTGCTGTTGTTTGCTCTTTCAGGGGAAAAAGGCTGTTTCTGTCTCCTGAGGGGAGTCTGAAGGTGTTCCTCTGGCGCTGAAAGCGTCCTTTAGCTGTTTGCAAGGTGAATCTATTTTAGGTGGAAGAATACATTTGCTTTAATGCAAAACTATTTATAGTCCCCATAAAACATTTCTCTTACTCAGACAGCTCTGGATTTCCACTGACAAAGTGTTAACAGCTCCATCTATACCAGAGCCTTCATGTTTGTAGTAGAGAAGCAGCAGCAGGGGGAGAAAGCAATCAGGAGGCTTTAATTACTTTATCACTGTAGTGAATGACCAACTTTAATGAAGTGGTTTCTGTTTTGTGGTCAGTCCTTGTGGCCCTGACCTGTGAAGTAGCTCTGCTATCCTGACACAAGCTCAGAAATTAATTTAATTCAGGACAACTTATTTTCGTCTCTGCTACAGTCCCTGTGAGGTACTTGGAGGGGTTGCAGGGAGCATCTTTCCTGAGCTACAGGTCCATGGGAGGTCTATTGATGGGGTAAATCCCTTTTCAGAGCAGCATCGCTCCCCCAGAATGGCATGTTTCCCACAGTTATATTTCCAGTTTCAGGCTGCGCTCAGGCAGGAAGAGGTCATTTCTAGCAGAGTGCCAAGTCCAGGAGGATTTCCAGGGGAGGCTGTGCTCTAAGCACTGCCGGCTGGGGCAGGCACTCACAGGGGATGAACTGCTTGAGTGCAGGCACTCCTCTCCCAGCATTGCACTCCTCCGTCAACACAAACTGAGTTAAAACTGCACAGCCCTCTCATTATCTGAAAGAATCTGATTGTCTGAATGGATAAAAGAAATAACTGCATTCCTAAGTGCATGGGGGGATTTTGTAAGTGAATGCTTCTGTGCTCAACTCCTTTTATGTGACTGTCTCCTGCTACTTTCATCTATAATTTTAATTAATAAAAAAAAATTTTGAGCAGAAAAAAAGGTTATTGAAGGTCACAACACAGTTTTAGTGCCAGTGGAACTGTCTGATGAGACTCCATAAGCACACTGAGGGGTGACTACTGCTCCACTGGTATCTAAGACTAGACCTGAGTTTATCATTTCAGGTCCTACCGAGTTGCAGATTTCACATTGTAGGAGCTGCAGCATTTTATCTTTGAGCATACAAAAAAAAGTTGGTGACTGTTACTCTGTGTTAAACTCATGGGGCATTTCAGTTTACTAAAATCCGCCATGGCCAAGCTCTTCACTGCTCAGACCCAGAGCCCAGTAGAGATGAATTATGCTGATACTGCCTTGGATTTGAATAATTTGAATGCAGACATTGGATACAAAACTCTCCTGGAAACAAACAAGACCCTCTAGGAAAAGGTCTGATGTGTTAGCAAAGCCCCAATAAGAATTATCTTGACCTGGGTAGGAATTGCTCTCCTGATAAAGTTACATTAGGAACCCTACAGCTAGTGTTTCTTCACAGGAGCCTGTTGAGACACCATATAGATAGACAAGCTGAGAAGAAAGCTCTCTGCTCTGGAAAACCCATCTCTCTGTAAAGTGAAACATGCTTTGAAAGTACTCCCAAGTTACCCAGCTCACATCAAGCTACATAAATACAGTGGGCTTTAGCTCTGATCTACTCCCCAGGTGTTCAGTTTCGTTTCCCATGAGCTCTGTGAGGAATGAATCATCACTTTGTGGCAGGACCCAGAGGAGACGGGTGGATTGGACCCCTTTGTGCCCAGCGTGACAGTACCAGTTCCCACCCAAAGCAGCCTGTGGGCCAGCACCAGCTGGCTCCGAGTAAGCAAGGCACCTTGTCCAAAACCTGGTGTCAGACACAAGCCAGATGAGCCAGCTTCTCCGGGTGCCCACTTCTCCCCCAGGGATACACAGGGAGGCTGTAGTTGCTCTCAAATGACGCCTGAGGGACCATTAAACATGAAAGGGCCAAATGTATTCCTCTGTGCTGCTTTACAGTATTATGGCTGTATGTTTCATAGTCTATTATTTCTACCTGGGTCATTTCAACTGTAACATTTTGTTGACAGCCCCCAAATGTATCTTAACAATTGACAAGTGGAGTGAAATCTGTATTAAGGTTTGCGGTCGATGAATACAAGCCTGCTAGGAAACAAGGGCTAGAAGCAATGTCATTTCTCTCCCTTCTCTTCAGGGCTTAAGTGTTTGTGCTAACTCCAAAACTGTAAGATCTTTGCAAAGGGATTATTTTATTCTGTATATCTACAACACTGGTGCAAGGGGGCTCCTGGTTGATTGGTGCAAATGATAAATGACAGGCATCATACTCTGCTGTGATTATGCTCATTGACATCCTTCACGCGGGTCAGGTCTTCAATCAGTGCCAACGCACATAACTCCATTAAAGTCAAATTGCAGCAGGACCTCCATTCTTGCTCCTTCCACTTCCGAGGGAGTGTTCAGGGATGATAGTGGGTTCCAGCCCACTCTGGAGGATCCATGGTTGGTGGTCACATATGTATGCTAGAGACTTGGCATCACGTAAAGCATTTGGTGAGCAGCAGAGGGCAGGGTACCCTCCAGGGAAAGGTTGCACTAGCTTCTGCTGTCACAGACCCACAGCTGGACCAAGGGGACTCTCTTGTAAAGTTATGCCAGCAAGCCGTCCTCATAATCACAGCCTGGACCTCTGACCATGACCAGAGCCCATCACTTACCTCTTCTTTTAGCAGAGGTCCGGAGGTTGGTAGAAAAACACACACTTAGAAAGAAACCCATGTATTTCTTCCCACTGAAAGGCTCATTAATTGGCAAGGCTGATGAGTGTTTCAGTGTTTTTTAAAGGGCAAGATGGTAGAAGTGTCAGCACAGACACCTCTATTGATCTGCTGTTGTTTTCCCTGTGCACAACAGCCTGACACAGGCTAAGACAATTCCTGACACAAGAAAGACAATTTTGCAAATGTCTCCCACTGTTTCGATGGTTTGTCAGGAGTATGAATGGGGGGGGAGGTATTCCAGAGCCTCTTTGTCCTTCTTGCCGCTTTCTGCTCTTTGTCCTCCCATGAGGTTTCCCAGACATAGCAGCAGCATCTTACAGCACAATACTACACTGGGATCAAAATTCACTTGCCAAGCAGAGAAAACCACTTATTTACCGCACTTCCATAGGTCACCTTCGTCCTCAGTCATATTATACGCATTACCTTGTAACCTGTTTCCATTCAAGCGTGTGGTCAACCTGACATCTCCCCTTGGAGAGACACAGTCAGGCAATAGAGCTCCTCAGCCAAGTGGATGCTCCCTCCAAGGCTGTATTAATTGAAGGAACACCGTTTATGCCACTGGCTGCAGGTCCCAATGTGAAGGGAAAGTTTTAAGGTGCTCCATGTGCATGGAAAAAATGAGCAGGGTTTGCTCATCCTGCAGAAATGAGGCTCAATGAATTCCTGCACACTTCCCCCTTTGTTAATAGCAATTCTCCCCAGCACTGCTAATTGCACCCTGCAAAGAAGCTGAAGGTGTGGAGAAGCTGAAGGTGTGGGAGGTTGTCCTCACTCCTTAGCTGGCAACAGTCCCTGTCCCCAAAACCAGCGGCACACAGCAGGGGACTGCAGTGCAATCACAGCTCAGCCAGGTGCCGATGCTTGGCAAGATGTTGCATACGGCTGGATAAAACAGATTCAAGGAGTTACTGGCTTTTTACACACAACTTTAACTCTTTGGGGAGTGTGAAAAATGTTCTTATAAAGAGTAAAAATGTGTGTTTACAATGCTGTTGTAAAAAACACTGATCTCCACCTCTGTAGAACTTCAAAGAACTTGCTGAAATACAAAAGAAACGCATTCAAACGAGGGCATAAATAGTTCAATCTTATATTTGAAAAGGATCCTAACATGGTTTATAGGGCCAAGATGTCATTTAGCAATTTTTTAAATCAAAAAGCAAATCTGCTCTGACTTAGGGAAGGGATTTGAATCATGTTACAACAGTTTGGCTCTGCACGCAGTGGCCAGCTAAATAGCATTGTAATCCACTTTATCCCCAGTAGGATTAAAGTGCTATGATGCATTACACCCCCATGAGATTTATTTGTTTGGAAGGAGGAGAGTGACTTTGAAACCTGTTGCTAACAACCCCCAGATGTCCTTTGCCACCATCTCAGCCCAAACACCCTCAAATCTCCCCTGTAGGGCTATGATTTGGGGACTAAGTGGCATTTGGCCCCAGTGTCCAGCAGGGTTGTGACAGCTGTGTCGAGAGGACCTGCAATACCCACTGCTGCCTGCAAACCTGGGATCCTGGCAAGGTGCCTATGTCCCATCCTGGCTGTAGGACAGGCTGTGTAAGCACTGGGCACCTCAGACTTTTAAATCCTTTTGTAGGTATGTGAATAGCAGCAGGTAGTGCTTTGACAGCCCTCCTTCAGCCCTGCCTCTGTTTGAAGGGCTTTCAGCAGGCAAAAGTGGAACTTGAGTTGGCCACGAGCACTCTAGAAGCCTCAGTCTGTCCTGCAGATGTGAGCATAATGGTGCTCTGCAGAGGTGAGGCATAGCATGCTCTGGCAGCTCTCCTCAGGGACTC